ACCTCAACATGTTTTTGGACTGTGGGAGGAAGCCGGAGAGAACCCACGCTGCACGGGGAGAACATGCAAACTCCACGCAGAAAGATTCCGGTGCCCCGACCGGGACGCGAACCGGCAACCTTCTTGCTGCAAGGCAACAGTGCTACCAACTGCGCCAGCCCCAAAACAAAATCAAAATCATATAGCAAAATAGTCCAAAATTCTGGACTAAGTCTACATATTCGAAAAGGAGTGAGAAGAAGTATATAAACACTTATTTAATCCCACCCCTTTTCCATAAATTATTGATTGATAACTTCTAGTTTCCTATATATATATATATAATATACAATTTCTGTTTATACATATAAGAAACATACATACAAGACCTATTGCAATCATGGAATAGAGCAGAATTGTACTGATTCTCTGTTTGTTTGTTTTTTTCAGCATGGAGAAGAAGGTCGCCTCTTAGTGGCAGATGGAGGCTGAAGCAGACCGCTGGCTGCTTCAGCAGGCACCTAAACCAGGACATCAAAACTCATGCATCTAAACACCCATCTTATCCAATCAGTGAAAAAGCAGCACTTACAGCATTTTTTTTTTAACGCCATGTTACCACAGTTGATCACTCTGATTAAGTTTTAGTCACTTTACTACACAGACAGAAATAAAAGAAGATGCTTCCTTCCTAGAAATAAGGTCAACTTCGACACACAGGTACAGAACGTGGGAGAATGTACGCTCAGCTAACCAGCCTGACGGATGTTTCGCACGCAGGATCCAGTGGCTGTTGCACAGAGTCGGCTCCAGCAATCATTATTGGTTAATCATCTCATTTCAGGTCATTGGCATCAGTATTTTTCTCACAACGTAACCTGCTTAGGAATTTAAGTCAGTGATATTTTGTGGAGAGCTGTGGTTGAGGTCAGGGTGTGCAAATATGTCCACGCTGTAGCGGAGTATCAGTAGCTAAGTGCGCATATAGACTTTCAGTCATTAACCTTTACTTAAACAGAGAGAACGCACAGAGTTAAGCTGTGTGTTTGCTGTATCCTGGAGCAAGATGTACTCTGTATGTTTGAGTATGTGTAAGGATCATGTTGGGCAGGGTATTAAACAATAAAACAAATAACTTTAATTCAACAAATGTTTAAATTAAACAAATTAAATATTGATATGTGGTAAAACTGCCCCGTGTTATAAATCATTAGAATTACATTTCAAGCTGGGACTGTCGAGGTAATTTTCCTGAATGACCGAGCAAGACGGACTGCTGCTGTCGGTGCTGACCAAACACGTACCGTGTGCTGTTGTAAAATATCATTCACAGTAATTTATTGTATAATCCAACTTATGTTCCCTGATTAATGTTTGGAATCTTTGGGTTTGTTAAAATAAACTGGCTGTAACACACTTGATTTCTTTGCAGAGGTTTGTTTATTTAATTTTTTTTTATCATGAAGCTTTGCACCTGCAATTTTCACGTGATCTTTGTTTGTGTCAAAGTCATGTTCCACGGTCATTGTTGGGGATCAGGTGACAGGTACAATGTGACGTATTTTGTCATTGCAATGTCACAAAGGACGCTGCTCCTCTGTGTTTACACTCAACATACAAGCGCTCAACCTAATGGCCTTGTTAAGTGAACACTGGACACGTCTTTCCAGTGAAGGTAGAAAGCACAAATTTAATTAACTGCAAATTAATTGTTATTTTATGTCTTATGTGTATACAAAACGGTTGCTGAGAGCTTTACAATTGTATTAGACATTTGTTTCATTCAGTATCATTTGCTGCATATTTTACATTAAATAAACAGAGGCCCATCAGTGTTGCATTTAGGTCCTTTAGTTAAATAGGAATTTCCTACTACTCAAGGAAAAACCTAGAAAGTGTGCTAAGGGTTTGCTGTTTGAAGGAACTGTATAGAAAAGCAGAAACAGAATCTGACATTGATTGATTGATTGAGATATTTATTTTGAATATGTAAAGACAAGAACCAAGTAAACAAAGAATTAACATTACATATACATACAAAACAAAATCATATAGCAGAAGAAATACAGTCCTCAGATGTATTCATACCCTCCCATTAAAGAAGGAAAAAATACAGCTGTCACTGAAATAAGTTGAAATTGACAAAAGTAATAATAAATAAAAAAAAATTATGAGAGTCATGACATTGCTTATGAATTGTGGTTCAACAGAAATTTTAAAAAAAGAAGAAAAAAACCCCAACAACAACAACAATAACAAACAAGCATGATGGGACCCGTAAACTAATATTTAATTGAACAACCCTTTGGGGCGATCACTGCAATCAAGTGTTTTCTGTAACTCTCAATCAGATTTCTGTTGACAGGTATTTTGATTTTGCTCCACTACTCATCAGGGAACTACTCAAATTTGTCTGGGACAGTTTATTTATTTATTTTTAATTATTCTTTTCACCCACAATTCAAAAGCAATGTCTTATTTCATTAAATTATAATTTAGCAAATTTTTATATATTATTACTTTTTCAGCTTCTTATTATTTGAGTGACTTTTGTGAATTTTGCCTTTTCTTTAATGGAAGGGGATAACTACATTTGAGGACGACCGTACATTGAAATTGACGGAGATACTGAACACGTCCAGCAGGCGGCAGTGAAGCGATAAAACGACTGAGCCGCAGCTAAACAGCGCAGAAGAAGAAGAGGAAACCAACATGGCGTCCGTCAACAGTGATGAGTGGAGAGCTATCTGCGACAAATTCACCAACGCCCAAAACCTGACAGATGTAGAATCACGGAATGACCCAGAAAATGACCCGTACCGCTCCAAATACAAGGCCAGGGAGCTCCTCAGAGAGATATACTGCTCGCTCAAGAGTTTTGATGCCGGCGAAGGCGAAGAGGAGAGCGGCGGAGAGAGCGGCGAGCAGCCCCCGACAGAGCAGCCGGTGGACGGGCAGAGGGAGGACGGCTTCGGTCAGGGCTTCAGCGGGGACTCGCCAGCCGGGATGCGGGCCGCTAAACTCGGGGCTGTGGAGTATTACCTGGGCGTCAACCACGTCGACACGGAGGAGCTGTCAGCCGGACAGGAGCATCTGATGAACTGCATGAAACTGCTGGAGAGGTGCCGAGTGTCGTCCGAGAATGTGTCGCTGTTTATTCATGTCAAGGTAACGTTGACAGTAACTTTTACATAAATATGCAACCGTGCGTGAGCTGACAGCTTCCTTAATTCAGGCAGTTGTTTACAAGCAGGGATGCAGAAAATCACAGCAAAAAAATCCGAAACTAATATCTAATTTGTGACTTGTTACCGAGCTGTTTACAGAAACATTTCCATGTGATTGAATGTGGTTCCCACAGAGTACATGAAGATCTGCGGCTCTTTCTTTCACAGACATCCCACTGTGGTAGGAGGTCAGATGATCTGATCAGTTGATGCTCATGTGTTGACTCCTTATGTTTATCAGAACCAGCTGGGCATCCTGTGGGCAGGCCGGGATGAGACGGAGATGGCTCAGGGCTTCCTTGAAACTGCAGAATCCATGTACCAACGTTACATGAAGGAGGTACGACTGGTTTTCTGACTCGCTGTTCAGTCACTAATGGGTGAAGATTGTAGGAGAAGAAAGCCATCATTTTGCATAGTCACATAACAGAGGTTTACATCTGTCAGGTACCAAGGCAGAACATTGTTTTATTTTTACTGATAAAAAGTTTTCTACACTACATTTTTGAAGGTGCTACATTACAGCATAAATGTGTTCCTATTTTCAGGTCAAATTGAAATGTGACAACAAGGAGGCAAAGAGAGCGATTTTACAAGTGCTGCCTGTAAAAATGCTTTACTTGCTCTAAGCGGGGAGACACCATGATTCAAGAGACAAATTAACCAAGACATCCTCAAAGTTTGCAAGAAACTAATATTGGTTCCACAGTCTGGCCTCCTGTAGGAGTTGGCATGGCACTGACTGAATGGACAGATCCTCTTTATCAGAGGAGAATAGAAGAATTTTTTATTGATCCACCCATCAGGGGAAATTTACACGCCACAGCAGCATCCAAAAATATAGAAAGAAAGTATAAGAAAATAACAATAATTAGTCATAACAATATTTACATCGAAGAAGAAAAATGTGCAAATATAGGCCAACTAAGCTGGTGATGCTGATGTTGTAAAGTTGCACTGCAGTTGGGAGGAATGACCAGCGCTCTTTCTTACAGAGAGGATGTGCTGAAGGAGCTTCTTAAAGCCCCCACAGTCCCATGCAGCGGGTGAGAGGGGTTTTCCATGATGGATTTGAGCTTTACTAACATCCTCCTCTCACCCACTTCTTCTGTGGAGTCCAGGGAGCAGTCCAGGACAGAACCATCCCTCCTCACTCCTCATCATCATCGCCTCATCAGCGGCCATTATTTTTTGTTTTCTGTCTTTTCAGGATGGCAGTCCTCCCACTGATATGACAGAATACTTCACTAGTGAGGAGAACCTGCTGACACACCAGGAAAGGACCAAAAGGTAACTTGGAAACTAAAACATCCTCATACGTGACACTTACACACACACACACACACACACACACACACACACACACACACACACACACGTGTACATCTTACAGATTTCCTCTGTATTTACAAAAACATTATCGCTATTTTGTCTTGCATTTACTTTATCCCATTACCTTCCTTCTCTCTTTTCATCTTTACTTTTCTCCCTACCAGGTTTGAGTTGGCCTACACTCATACCATGTACTACCTTGCTCAAGTTTATAAAAACCTTGGTGAGTATGAGGTTCTGATCCTTCAGCTTTTGAGGAATTTGTGAAGTATGCTGTTGGATTGGGTTCATATTCTGTTGATGTAATTAAGCTAAGTGTGAATACGTTGCTTTATTTGATAGTGATAATAACTACAGCCTTGTGTCTCTCAGGGCAAACTGAGCGTGCTGCCACCTACTGCCACAGTACACTGCAGAGACAGCTACAGTTAAACCAGTTCAGCCCAATGGAGTGGGCTCTGAATGCTGCAACACTCTCACAATATTATATCACAAAGGTAGGACATATGTTGAATTTTACTAATTGAAAACTGTTGATTAATAACCTCTAATCAAAAGGCATGCTGCCTGCATGTTGTCATCTAAAGAGATAAATCTGCTTTACCTTGATTTTTAAAAGATTTCCACCAAACCTTAACTGTTTTCACGTGGTTCAACACAAAATTGAATGTTTTTGGACTGTGTGGGAGGAAGCCGGAGAACCCAGAGAGAACCCACGCTGCACGGGGAGAACATGCAAACTCAATGCAGAAAGATCCCGGGTGTCCTCACTGGGACGCGACCCGGCGACCTTCTTGCTGCGAGGCAGCGGTGCTAACCACCGATCCACCTCGCAGCCCCAAGATTTAATTTAGAGTTAATTAATTTTCATTACATGTACAAATATATGTTGCAATCATCAAACATATTTCGTAAGTTCTGTCTTAGATGTTCTCTACGACTGTCGCACTTGCAGTAGTTTGTTTTCAAGTGTGAGCTGTTACAAATATGTGTATGCTTGTGTGGTTTTGTTTTTAGGGTCGATACATGGAAGGCAGACATTGCCTCTCAGCAGCTACTGTCATATCAGGTTTGGCAGGGGAAGTTCCCTCTGAGGCTGCTGCTCAGGAGAGTAAGTATCTAAACATTTAATTGGGATGCTTATCCAAACAAATATACTGACAGGCTTATTTGCTCTGTACTCTGCATCCTTCGTTAACTACAGTAAGTCAAACAAGAGAGAACACAGCTGTGTAGCAAAGCAGCCAAGTAAAACCTTGCACTTTTCTCCCCCTTGTTTTTAGCTTTGTTTCCTTATTGTCTCATCTTGCCCCTCTCACGTCATCCAGACATATTTAGCATTCCTTCAGTCTCTTCTGGGATATCTTCACATCTCTTTGTCCATCTGTCTGACCCAGGTGAGACAGAGAGCGAACGCAGGGAACATCTCAGACAGAAGCGAGCCGAGATTGCGAGATGTTGGATCAAATATTGTCTCAACCTCCTGCAGGACTCCAAGAAGCTGCTAGAGGTACTGCATAGTTGTATGTGGACGTGTACTTGTATGTGGTTGTAGTCCTTCAATAGTGCCTTTGGATTGTCACAGTTGACTGTTTTTGTTTTGGTCAAATCTGGACAATCGGTACATGTTTGGTCAAGTAGAGTATCTGTTTGTCTGTGTGCTTATCTGATTGTTCATGTGTCCACATGAATATGAGGTGTGTCAGAAAAGTTCCAGGACTGGGGTCACAAAAGATATATTTCAAATCCAAACTACAAACTACAAGTTTTCCCCCTCCAAGTTATCCCCCTGGAGTCTAACACACTCCCCCAGCCTTCTCTGCCGCCACGCCGCCATGCACTCCTGGAAGGATTCTTCCAGGATCCTCCGCAGCTCCGTCGTCACAGCCATCTTGATGTCGTCCACATCTTCAAAACGGGTCCCCTTGATGACCCCCTTGAGCTTGGGGAAGAGGAAAAAAATCCCACGGAGCCAGGTGGGGTGAGTAGGGAGGTTGCTCCAGCACGGTGATGTTCTTCTCAGCCAGGAACTGTGGGATGCTCAGGGCATTGTGAGCAGGCACGTTGTCATGATGAAGCAGCCACGACTTGTCCTGCCACAACTCTTCTCGCGCACTGAACAAAGCAAATGCTGCAGGATCTCTTTGTAGACGTGCTGGTGGATCATCTGAAGGAGAAAACTGGTAGTTTGTAGTTTGAGTGTGAAATCTATCTTTTGTGACGCCAGTCCTGGAACTTCTCTGACACACCTCGTACTTGTTTTGTGTGTATTTTAAAATATGCCTGTTTGTGTGTTTTCAGGACAACATTGGGGAGCTGGATACTGATCGTCAAGATGAGTTGAAGAGAGCGAGAAGACGTGAGGAGGAAGAGGAAGAGAAGGGCAGGAAGAGTGCTCTGCTTTTTGGCTCTGAGGACACTTTTGACTCCATTGCTAGCCTGGAAGAGAAGGTCTGTACGATGTGTCTGCTGCTGCTGACAGTGCTGCTGTTATGACTGTTATTGTTAAGGATCACGTTACACTGCTGCTTGTTCATGTTGCTGTCTCGGTATCAGTAGCTGCAGAATTGGTTTCCTTTATGGGCAAGATGTGATAATAGTAGTTGTTTTTATTGCATTACTTTTCATATGTGGGTTGTAACATTATCAGCCCATATGTGACCGACATAATTTACTGACACTATAAATAAAGGATTAAGATTACCCTGTCATTAGAGGGCGCCATTCTGCAGATGAATATTCCCCCTCTTGTAACAGATGAGCTCAAACAGTGCGTTTCCTGCTTTTTAGGTGCTTTGTTTGTTCCCATTGGACTTCACTGAGGCCAGATCTGTGTTTCTCGTAGGACAGAATTATGTCACACAGGTAAGCACAACACAAGTGTTCTGTATACAGTTGTACAAGTAAACAAGTGTTTTGTGTACAGATCCCTTGTATACAACTAAACAGACACACTCAGTGTGGGCGCAGAGTTTACAAATCACTTATAGCTGAGTTATGGAAGTTGCTTTGCCAGAAGATAACAACACAGATGAACATTAACCTGAATTCAATATGAAATATTCAGCATATAAATGTAAGAAATTTAAAAAGGTGCTTTTTAGCTTTGACAAAAGTAGCACTTGTGTTCATCCACCAGTGAAGTGGAGTCACTTTTTATGGTATTGGGTTGTGGAAATAAACTGAGTTTCACAGTTCAACCAAATTATTGTCTTAAATATTCACTTCAGGAAGAAAGTCTGTATTGTAATGCCATAATTAAGATGTTTTTAATGTTCTGGGATGTCTGGTCTGAACTGGTAAACCCTTTGATTTTGATAGAACTATAAAAAAAGAAAAGCTTAAACTTGGTTGAGAATGAGATGAAGATGAAGTAACTCACAGTGGCAACAGAGCCAGACACTGACTACTAAGTTGGATCATCCCCTTTTTTTTTTTACACAGTTGCGCAAATAATGAATGCAGCAAAGATGTTGTTCTGCTCATGGCAGATTGTCCCCTCACACACATTTTCTCAGCGCACTGAACATACGACGTACAGTTTGAGCTGTTGGACAAAGTCTGCTGTCTCATTTAAAGTAGAACAATGTTAAAAAGACCTTTTTCTGTTTTGCGTCTGTCTGTTTTTGATCTCTATTTGTAACTGTTTCTCCGCTCTTTTATTCTCACTAAGGCCAAGGAGTACTTTCAGATGGATGGCTATGTGACAGACCACATAGAGATCTTGCAGGATCACAGCTCTCTGTTTCGAGCGCTGGCTTTCTTTGAAGAGGATCTGGAGCGACGCTGCAAAATGCACAAACGACGAGTTGACATGCTGGAACCAATCTGCAACGGTACTGAGCTCTCGAGTTTCAAATTTAGGATCGTGTCTTCCTTTGAAGACAGTTTTGATTCATTAAATATAGTAATGATCTGAGAATATGATAAAATGTACTGTCTCTAACTCTTGATTTCTCTGTAGATCTGAATTCCCAGTACTACCTATTGATCCGCAGACAGTTAATGTTTGAGTTGGCTGAGACCTACAATGAAATGATGGACTTGAAGCTGACGCTGGCCAACAGACAGGCCGATACACAGTCTCTAGATAACCACACTATTAAGAAATTCAACAATCTCTGCTCTGCCTCTGCCAAGTATGTGTACTTTCACATTTAAAGTGTCCATGTATGTCGCTGTGCATCCATGTTGCTCGGTTTTAAAGTGATTTGGTATCCTCTCCTCTCCAGATACTTCCAGATGTTCCTAGACTCTCTGTGTTCTCCAGAAGGGAAGTTTCCAGAAGTCCTGGAGGAGGAGGTGCTCCGACCAGCTCTGGTTGCTCGCTTCAGAGTGGCCCGACTGCACAGCCGACTGATCAGCTCTGTGCCTCCTATTCAGCTGGAAAACCTCAACAGATCTCTGGAGAACTACAAGTAGGAAGATACATTTGTGAATTTGTAGTGCTGCGTCCAACAATTTCTGGGTTTACTTATTGAAAGTGTCGCTCTTACCAGATGCTCTCTGTCAGAGGATGACTGTTACAGGTTCACTTCAATATAAGAGCACAAAAACTAATAGAGAGAAGCAAGAGGTCAGATAGAAGTGAGCTTGTGGAGAACAATTAAGATCACATACAAGGTGTGTCAGAGAAGTTCCAGGACTGGTGTCACAAAAGATAGATTTCAAACCCAAACTACAAACTACCAGGGTTCCCCTTCAGATGATCAACCAGCACGTCAACAAAGAGATCCTGCAGCGTTTGCTTGCTTGTGGCAAGACAAGTTGTAGCTGCTTCACCATGACAATGCGTCTGCTCACAATGCCCTGAGCATCCCACAGTTCCTGGCTGAGAAGAACATCACTATGCTGGAGCAACCTCCCTACTCACCCCACCTGGCTCCATGTGAATATTTTCCTTTTCCCCAAGTTCAAGGGGGTCATCGAGGGGACCCGTTTTGAAGACGTGGACGACATCAAGATGGCTGTGACGATGGAGCTGTGGAGGATCCTGGAAGAATCCTTCCAGGAGTGCATGGCGGCGTGGCAGAGAAGGCTGGGGGAGTGTGCTAGACTTCAGGGGGATTACTTTAAAGGGGAAAACTTGTTTGGATTTGAAATATATCTTTTGTGACACCAGTCCTGAAACTTTTCTGACACACCTCATAGATATGTGACTGAACTCTTCATCCTGCCAGCTGCCATAATGTCTTTAATGTTTCCACCTGTTGTGTAGGTACGTGGTGCAGTATTGTGAGGCCCATCCTGAGGCAGCAGGTGCTGCAGAGACGGAGCTGGAGCTGAGTAAGGAGATGGTCGGCCTCCTTCCTCTCAAAATCAACCGCCTCAAAGCGAGGATGGCTGCCAACAACTGAAGGACACTGCTATTGACCGACTGACTCACTGGTCTAATGGACTAATTGTGCTAGATCAGGGGTTGGCAACCCGCGGCTCCGGAGCCGCATGCGGCCCTTTCATCCCTCTGCTGCGACTCCTTGTGGCTTTGGAAAATAAATGAGTATTTAATTTACATTTAAGTTTTTCAGTTCATCAGTTTTTAAAATGCAATTCTGAATTTGAAGGAAATACAACATGTTTAATTTCTTTTGTCGCTCAAAATATGTGTCACCAACCACTGATGTGCGACACCCGCCGGCACGCACAGGCCTTTATTATATCTATGTTGCCAACTTGGTGACTTTCTCGCTAAATCTGGCAACTTTCCAAATCCTCTTGGTGACTTTTTTTTGCGTAAAAAGCGACTAGCGACAAATCTGTCGACTCTTTCTGGTGTTACTGGAGACTTTTCTGATGTTTTTGAGACACTGATATGTAAACACGTATCGTTCTGCAGTTACTATTGTCGGCGAGCACCGGTGCTGCCGTGAGCACCTCCTGTCCCAAAGCGCTCACAGGCGGTCAGGAGTCTGGTCAGCAGTCCCAGCTGCAGTCAGCAGGACAACCAGACGTCATTTTTACTTTGCTGCAGGTGGATAATTTAAGTTTGGCTTTTTATTTCATAAATACGAGGAGGACTCAAATAGACATTGAGTATTTTATTTGAAAGTAACCTTCCACCCAGCGTCTTTTTTTCTGAGTTCGAAATGTTTTTGTTGCATGCAGAAATAAAATTTTGTTTTCTCTGTAGTCATTAATTTTATTAATGCAACACAGTATAGTTTTTTATACATAGCATTGACGTTAAAACGATATATGCTATCTGTGTTGTCTTGATATTAGATAAAAGGGTTTTGTGGCTCCCGGTGTTTTCTTTTCTGTGGGAAATGGGTCCAAATGGCTCTTTGAGCGTTGAAGGTTGCCGACCCCTGTGCTAGATCCACCCTAATGAACTAGTCAGTCTAAATTTACCACGTTATAGTTAAACGGACACGCTCAACAAATCAACAAACTAAACAACAGAATGACTGACTCCTGTTCTTACTGTATTTGTACTAGTGATGACCTCTTCTTTTGTGGGCATGCTGCTTTCACAAGACTGTGAACACATTGTTGGCTGTACATGCTTGCTGTCCTCTGTGTAGTGAACTTTGTGAGCTAACTTTAACTCAGATCACACAGAAAATGCACTTTGTTTAGCATCAATTAAACAAATAGAAATGTTATTCTCTTTGCAGTAGTTCATTGTTAGAACATAAATGTATGTTTTCAACGCTTTCTTCTTAACCAGACTATTGTAGAAACCCTCTGAACAGCCACAGTCTTTGCAGGTTCAGCAGGTCCACTCAGTGTCCTTAAGGTGGATATGTGCACCAGATTTTTATTCTATTTTGTGTATGTTTTGTTTCATTTTTTATTTTATTTCACCGTTCAAGTGTCCTGTCTGAGCGTCGTCCGATTCATGCCTGTGTTCTATTGTTAATCATATTGGTTTTCATTTAATGTGGCTTTACTTTCTTTAAAGCTCACTAAAGGTATGTTTCTTCAGCTCCTTTATGTCTCTGATGATAAATAAATGTGAAGACATTCTGTAAGCAGAGTCAGTGGGCCCATGAGAATAACAACAAAGCATCCTGAGGTAAAGATGGCAGCAGTTTGTGCCACTGATGGGTTGGAAGAAATGACATGCAAATTGGCAGAAAAAAAGAAAGTCATAAAGTGTATTTTGCCACATTGCTGTTGGTTTAGTGGACTTCACTACATGCATGATGCAAGTTCAACCTGTATATGTTCACGTTTGTTTAATGTACAGTAGATACTGTATGTAATGATATTTAAACAAGTAATCCACATATATGCCATAATACTAATAAGTGCTTTTTCTACTTTGACTGAGAGGCTGAGTGTGAAGCGGGACCTGATATGTATCCACTGAGCAGAAAGCTGTTTTAATGACGGCGGTTCCTCGAGTAAAAGGCTAAAATTATCTCAGTATTGGGCGCAGATGAGTTTAAGAATTTTTTTTTTTTTTTCCAGACTGTTAAATTGCTTAATGCAGAGACGTGTCTGAAACTGTGTCTATTAAAACTATAATATGTCTTAAACCGACTGTGACTATGTGTTGATGTCCTATAAAAGTAACAGCACATGTCGACTACGGTGCTTTACCCACAGCTGCCTCTTTTCTCGTCATTGTCAACTTTATTCATGTAACATATTTGCCTCGAGGCTTTACATTGGTTCAGATCGCATTGTGAATTAAACCTGTGTACATGCGTTACAGCAGAAAGTAAGGGGACATTGTACAATTAGAGGCAGTTAATCGAGAATAAGAGTTCTCAGATCCTGTTGCAGTTTTTCAAAAGGGGAAGCAAGTGCACCAGAGGTCAGATGTGTGGGCTGATATATGACCAATTTCCCACTAAGCATGAGGTCATGTAGCTTCACCCTGCTGAGTGGTACTTTTCTCAAGGGGGGGTTTTGTGGTGAATCTGTAACACCACAGGACAGTATGTCTGATCTCCCGGGTGATACCACCATGTGACACCAGGCCAGTCTGGTAAAATCATGGGATTGATGTTTACAATAAAAATCTGGTCACCCTGTTGAAGCTTCTGTGTGGATGTAGAGGCAGAAGACAAACTAAAGAGGAAAAACAATTAATACTATGAATCCCACACAGGGTTACTGGAATTATGACACTTATATGTTGATTTTAAGAGTTCAAGATAGTCTTTCCAAATCCATTCTGTCAAATAACAAATGCCAACACACCCCACTGCGCCGCCGCCCACCTCCGAACACACAGAAGCACGCAAGTCAAAATACTGATCATTGCACAAATTGCTGTTTGCTATAAAACACTATTTGTGTTTTTATGGTGCGATGGAAACGATTTCAGTGCAATAAAACCTGCAATTCCTGCTTCAGTTTATGCACCAATTAACCTTTTCTGATGCTTGTCAAAACTTGCACCAACAAACCTGCCCAACACTCGAGATTAACACGCTGTGAGTAAGAGCTTGTCGAGGGCAGCTTACCGGAAAATCCTCACTTACATAAAATATACAGCTGTAAAAGGCTGGGGTTTTTTTTTTCTCGAGTAGAAAGAACAACTACTTAAGGACGCTGAGAAATCAGATGACCTGCAATTCCTGTTGATGTTTACAATTGTGGGAAACACAAGTTAAACAGAGATGAAGTGATTTTATATGAGAGCGTAAACTGTATCGTCCCATTTGATGATTTAATCGAGGAACTTTTCAGAGATGTCTCAGGTAGGTTTTGACTGGTTGCATTTGTTGTGTTTGACCTCTGTACTTATTTCTTCTGTGTGCTCAAGGTTTTTTTTGTTTTTTTACAAAGACAATTCTGATATCAGTGATGCTGGCTTAGTGAGAAAATCCTTTTCTCATTTCCCAACACTAGAAACAAAAGAGGAACATTTATAATAACTGGAATTGAAGATTTGACAGTGGCTGCTGCTGTTCCTTTGTCAAAATGTTTCCTGAACTATGTACCTGCTATAGTATGAATAACTTTAAACACACATCCACAGACTGTTGCCAAATTCTTACATCCTGAGTCCTTCTCCGAGGAAACACTGACGTACACAAGATTCTGTACACGTTGTGTTTTACCCAACAGTGACACTGTGACAATTTCTCATCTCAACACGCAAATCCACATCCTGTTAGTGTTTTTTTTTTTTTTTTAAATAAAAAACTGATTACATTTGCTTTTTAATTGTTATTAGTCACTGCTCAAGTTCCTCCGTGGAGCCCAAACAAATCCTGTGTTTTCTGCCGACTGGTGAAACGGTCCTGGTGTGTTTGCTCATAGGTTAACAACTGTGTGCGCACATTCACTGTGTCTCCGTATCAGAGAGAGTGAAAATAGCGCTGTCTGTTCGGCCATAAACTCTGGTTACTCAGACAATAGACTTGAATCCCACATAATGTGACAGGGGTGGGAATGGAAACCGAGCTGACTGTAAAAAGCCGACTTTTTATAGATAGAGTAAGACACTGGCTGCTGCAGGGAAACACAAACACGATCAGACACAGTATATTAGATATTAGTGATCGTTCAGAGTTTGAATTAGTTTGATTATCGGGTGCTGTGGAGAAGACAGGTGCTGACTGGAGATATGCTGTATGTGCAGCGTGGTATCTAAGTGGGTCTATGTGCCTCGTAAATATGTCACTTATGTCACTCTGTGTGTGTGTGTGTGTGTGTGTGTGGTTGTACACAGAGGCGAGGTTGGGCAGGCTAGTGTGTCATTTCCTGAAGGAAAATGATAGCAAGTGATGTTACCACTTCCTGCAGCATCGTACCGATGTGTCAGCTGAATCAAACGGTTCTCTCTCTCTCCCTCGTCTGACACGGACAAGAAAGAGACGCAGAGACGAAGAAGAGGAGTCAGAAAAACACAAAAAAGTCAAAGGGAGGAATGCAGTGTTCAGCCCACAGTCTGTCTGTCTGTGTTGTACAAGAGCTCAACAAATATTTAAAGGAGAGTGCTGTCATTAACATGCACACACACACACACACACACAGGGTCAGACTGCTACAGAAAAAGCCCCCCAACATCGTAAACCACAGTTTGTTATACATGTGGTTGGATGGTGCACATGTATACGTTTAGTTTTCCACACAACCCACACGAGGAAATGAAATAAATTAGTTTTGTTTTTTTTTAAACCTTGTTAATGTGTCCATGTGGTGTTTTTTTTATATGCATTTGACAGGTTGTAGTGGAGACAACAACAGCCCGGCAGATGAGGTGCGTAACAGAGCAGTGGGTGCTCAAAGTGGGACCTGAGGGCCATCTGGAGTCTTTGATTGACAAATCAAAAATTAGGAACTGTTTCTCCTCACTTATAAATGTCTCTCCGTGTCAGCAGAATGCGATTACCGTCAGTAACTGTGACTCATTTATTACAATCAGGGTTCTCACCGCTGGGCTCGGTAACCTCATTCACCATCCTCCCGCCTGTAAAGCAGACTGCAAAAACTCAAAAATGACAAGTCAGAAGACTCAATAAGCAGTCAATGTCACAGCTGGGCATTTCCAATTTAATCCTGTGGAGTATCAATGATCTCAAAAACACAACAGAAGCTTTTGGGGTTTCACACATTACAAACCCACATTAAGGAACTCATTTGCCAACTTGTAGAGAGTGGGACTTTCCGTATCATTGTTCTACTTCAGCATTGGTTTCCACTTCCAACGCGTGTGGCTAAATCAGGCCAATATTGCAATTTGCCGTTGCACAGTATCAACTTTTTTTTTTTTTTTTTAACAAAGTTGTAGGTGAGCTTGTGGGCTTGATATGTAATTATTGGGAAT